GAGCGGTAAAGTACTCCGGAGGACAGGATTGCATTTAAATTTTTGCAAGGGAGGAAAGCCACTAAAATACAAGGGGGTTACAGGTGTGGAAGAATTAGGAATAAAAACATTAATATTCTGAGCATGGGTGAATGGTCGGAGGACACTTATAGCAACTGACATTGCATTTAAATTTTGCAAGGAGGAAAGCCACTAAAATACAAGGGTTACAGGGTGGGAAGAATTAGGAATAAAAACATTAATAATGAGCGGGTAGAGTAGGAGGACAGCGGATAGTAATTGCATTTAAATTTTGCAAGGAGGAAAGCCACTAAAAAATACAAGGGGTTACAGGGTGTGGAAGAATTAGGAATAAAAACATTAATAATGAGCGGGTATTGGAGGACAGCGGATAGCAACTGACATTGCATTTAAATTTTTGCAAGGGAGGAAAAGCACTAAAATACAAGGGGTTACAGGGTGTGGAAGAAAATTAATAATGAGCGGGTAGAGTACTCCGGAGGACAGCGGATAGCAACTGACATTGCATTTAAATTTTTGCAAGGGAGGAAAGCCACTAAAATACAAGGGGTTACAGGGTGTGGAAGAATTAGGAATAAAAACATTAATAATGAGCGGGTAGAGTAATCAGGAGGACAGTAGATAGCATTGACATTGCATTTAAATTTTGCAAGGGAGGAAAGCCACTAAAATACAAGGGGTCACTGAGTGTTGAAGAATTAGGAACAGAAACATTAATAATGAACAGGAAGAGAAAAGAGTAATCAGGAGGACAGTAGATAGCGATTGACATTGCATTTAAATTTTTGCAAGGGAGGAAAGCCACTAAAATACAAGGGGGTTACTGGGTGTGAAGAATTAGGAATAAAAACATTAATAATGAGCGGGTAGAGAAAAGAGAGGACAGGACGGATAGCAACTGACATTGCATTTAAATTTTTGCAAGGAGGAAAGCCACTAAAATACAAGGGGTCACTGAGTGTTGAAGAATTAGGAACAGAAACATTAATAATGAACGGGAAGAGAAAAGAGTAATCAGGAGGACAGTAGATAGCGATTGACATTGCATTTAAATTTTTTGCAAGGAGGAAAGCCACTAAAATACAAAGGGGTTACAGGGTGTGGAAGAATTAGGAACAAAAACATTAATAATGAACGGGTAGAAAAGAGTAATCAGGAGGACAGTAGATAGCAACTGACATTGCATTTAAATTTTTGCAAGGAGGAAAGCCACTAAAATACAAGGGGTCACTGAGTGTTGAAGAATTAGGAACAGAAACATTAATAATGAACGGGAAGAGAAAAGAGTAATCAGGAGGACAGTAGATAGCGATTGACATTGCATTTAAATTTTTTGCAAGGAGGAAAGCCACTAAAATACAAGGGGTTACTGGTGTTGAAGAATTAGGAATAAAAACATTAATAATGAGCAGGTAGAAAAAAGAGTAATCAGGAGGACAGTAGATAGCAACTGACATTGCATTTAAATTTTTGCAAGGGAGGAAAGCCACTAAAATACAAGGGGTCACTGAGTGTTGAAGAATTAGGAACAGAAACATTAATAATGAACGGGAAGAGAAAAGAGTAATCAGGAGGACAGTAGATAGCGATTGACATTGCATTTAAATTTTTGCAAGGGAGGAAAGCCACTAAAATACAAAGGGGTTACACTGAGTGTGGAAGAATTAGGAACAAAAACATTAATAATGAGCGGGTAAGAGTAATCAGGAGGACAGTAGATAGCAATTGACATTGCATTTAAATTTTTTGCAAGGGAGGAAAGCCACTAAAATACAAGGGTCACTGAGTGTTGAAGAATTAGGAACAGAAACATTAATAATGAACGGGAAGAGAAAAGAGTAATCAGGAGGACAGTAGATAGCGATTGACATTGCATTTAAATTTTTGCAAGGGAGGAAAGCCACTAAAATACAAGGGGTCACTGAGTGTTGAAGAATTAGGAACAGAAACATTAATAATGAACGGGAAGAGAAAAGAGTAATCAGGAGGACAGTAGATAGCGATTGACATTGCATTTAAATTTTTGCAAGGGAGGAAAGCCACTAAAATACAAGGGGTTACAGGGTGTGGAAGAATTAGGAATAAAAACATTAATAATGAGCGGGTAGAGTACTCCGGAGGACAGCGGATAGCAACTGACATTGCATTTAAATTTTTGGAGATTAAAATTGGCTTGAAAACATGGATGCGAAAGGGAGTTCTACAAGCGAGAAAAGAAACTTATAGAATTTACGGTTACATCGAGCCAACTGAACAGTCAATGAATGAAATCCTGACACCAGTCTCGTACTGCGCTTAAATTAATTTTAACGTACCATAGCGGAGAGTTCATTTGTATAATTACAATGAAAGTATTTACAGAAAAGACACCAAATACCCCCGTGAAAGATATAAATCCGTCTCTTCACACCTCTCTCCAACTATGCGTTAAATAGCAGGGAAGACTGGGGTCTTTAAGCATGATTGGCTACCAGTCACGGAGAAAGACAACTCAAAAACCTGACGAGGTCTATTTGGAGACCTGGTAGCAAACTACGATCACTCTGTATTGAGGTCCTCTGTATTGAGGTCCTCTGTATGGAGGTCCTCTGAATTGAGTTCTTGCGAAAAGTGAAGATCGCTCGACACAAGCAATCACCGCTATTATCTAATCATTTCTACGAGTAGTTTGGATGTTCGCTTCGAACAGCTGAATTATTGGACTTGCATACGACATGTAGACGACATGAAAGTCAATTATCATCACACACATACATGCATATATATATATATATATTTAGAAAATTAACTTCATATTGTGCAACATTATTTACGCAGTTAATTTTATATTTTACAAGACTGTTTGCAAAATTTTATATTTTACACGATTATTTGCAAAATTTTATATTTTACACGATTATTTGCAAAATTTTATATTTTACACGATTATTTGCAAAATTTTATATTTTACACGATTATTTACAAAATTTTATATTTTACACGATTATTTGCAAAATTTTATATTTTACAAGATTATTTTTGCACAATTAAGTTTATATTTTGCAACATTATTTACGCAGTTAATTTTATATTTTACAAGATTATTTGCACAATTAATTTTAGAGGATTATTTCCACAATTAATGTTGTATTTTACAAGAGTAAAATGGTAAAAAAATAATGAAAGGAATCAGCTTCGAACTTTTCTGTGGAAATTAAGTGTTAAAGTAATTTCTTTTCATGCTGAAATTCCCTGAAATTTTTGATTAAATACAACATCAATCATCATCTTAAAACCTGTTCTTCTATTGACCTCTATGTTTCTTTGACTCTCATTTCATTTTCTTTTACTATATATTTGGGTTTACAATCTACGCGATTTAAATTTTGTCTCTTTTTCTTCCTGTTAACATTTTTATCACATTTGTTATTAAAATGTTCTTCATTTCTTTGAATCTCAGTAACCCCCCCCTGCGTCTTAGTGGCATTATCACCTTCCTTGGATTAGAATGATTAAAAAAAGGGCTGATCCGCTTGTGTGTATGGGAAAAAGTAAGTGTGTGTGCGTGTGCTTGAGAGGGGAGAGAGAGATAGTGTGTGTGTGTGTGTGAAAGAGAGAGAATTTGTGTGTGAGAGAGAGAGAGTGTGTATGCGTGTGTGTGAGAGAGAGTGTATATGAGAGAGAGTGTGTGAGAGACAGAGTGTGTGTGTATGTGTGAGAGAGATAATGTGTGTGACAGAGAGAGAGGGTGTGCGTTACAGAGTGTATGTGTGCGAGAGAAAGAGTGTGAGAGAGAGTATGTGTGTATGAGAGAGTGCATGTGAGTGAGAGAGAGTGTGTGTGCGTATGAGAGAGAGAGTGTGTGTGTGAGAGAGAGAGAGAGTGTGTTAATGTGTGTGAGAGAATGTTTGTGTGTGTGTGTGTTGAGACAGAGAGATTCAGCATGCGTGATTGTGTGTGTGAGAGAGAGAGAGAATGCGTGTGTGTAAGAGAGTGTGTGTGTGTATGAGAGAGAGAGAGAGTGTGTGTGTGTGTGCGCGCGCGTGCGTGTGTGTGTGTGTGTGTGTGTGTGTGTGTGTGTGTGTGTGTGTGTGATGCCCGTTCAATGAGAAGTTGCTATTTTATTGTAATAAGACTAGCAAAGATCAATAATTGCATTTTCAATATTTCTCTATTTGACACCTAATCCCAGTTGGTCTTTTGTGTGTAATGTAATCCTTTGTTAGTCACATAATAACAAAGGCTACAATTGCAAGTTAGATGATAAATCATTTACGATGAATCGAAACGAATGCTGCGTCCAGCGGGACATTGCTGTTTATTTATTAATAAAAGTCAATCCCATGGAAAATTACATGAAGCAACATGTTGCTCAAAATTACGAATGCTGTTGGCGTGCAAAAAAGTTGCAAACTGAAACAAACTGAGAATCGTGTAAAATATAAAATTTTGCATGAAAGGTTTCCATTTAAGGGCAGAGTTAAATAAATAGCTTTTAATTATGGGCTTATTTTATTTATAAATTGCACAATTCGTGTCTTTATCCAGGCGGTTTATAACATAAAACACTTTATATATATATATATATGTGTGTGTGTGTGTGTGTGTGTGAAATATATATATATATGTGCGTGTGTATATATATATATATGTATATATATATAATATATATATATGTGTGTGTATGAAATATGTGTGTCAAATATATGTGTGTTTATGTATAAATATATATATATATATATATGAAATATATATATATATATATATTTTCATATATATATATATACATGTATATGTATATATATATATATATTTCACATATATATATATGAAATATATATATGTGAAATACATATATATATATACACATATACATGTGATATATATATAAATGTGAAATGTATACACATATATATATATATATGTTCACATAAAATTTATTATCAAGATGCATCTCTATGTTTGTGCGTTTTGCGTCGGGAGGGAATAAATGTTCATTATTACACAGATAGAGAGACAGAAAAAATGAGATAGATAGATAGATAGATAGATAGATAGATAGATAGATAGATAGATAGATAGATAGGTAGGAGATAGATAAATAGATAGATAATGAAAAGAATGAGAAAGATAATGAAAAGAATGAGATAGCTAGATACATACATACGTACATAATGAAAAGATTGGGATAGATAGATAGATAGATAGATAGATAGATAGATAGATAGATAGATAGATAGATAGATAGATAGATAGATTGTTTGTGATAGATGCATATCGGGTGTAACACCAAAATTGTCCAAATCGTGTAACAGCGTAATTGTCCATACCAGAAAATGCTTAATATCAACTGAGCAATGGTGAGAGGAAAAAGATCATTCAGGCCATCAACATTCATAGTCTGGCTTCCATCTTCAAAGTCCATTCAAGAACCATCAAGAGTTTTAAAAAAAGAGAACAGTAAAGAGGAAAACTGAATGAGAAAGTCACAACAGGAAGAAGGATGATCATTTCAACTTAGAGCTAAAGAGATCATTTAGAAAAGATTCAACTCAATCCATAATATGTTTGGTACCTGAGAGAGAAGTTTCAGCTATGACAGTCCAAGGAGCATTGAAAAAAGACTTGTGTGAGGCATCTCGTTACTCCAGGACAGAAAGTTAGAAGGATAGAGAGGGTGAAGATCATCTGTGATAAGTTGGAAAATGATCCTGGAATATATATATATATATATATATATATATATATATATATATATATATATATATTAATGTTCATTAAATAATATAGACAAGTTTTGTCTATTTATTTTAAGTAAGTTCCTTTCATATTGTCTGATAAGTTTAATGACATTATTATTGAAAGACGAAAGGAAATCACCATATTGATACATGTTTAAATCCTATCTAAGCTTCAATGAAAAATTGATGCCTAAATATACACAATCTATATATATATATATATATATATATATATATATATATACTATTATTTATAATACTTCATGCTGCTACGATTCTTAGCTATTTCATTTTCGTTTATGATCGATTTCATCACGATTCTTCTGTTAAGCTTGCAGAGTAATTATACATTTTTATTCTGAATAGTGTTATAAAAACCTCGCAGAATTCCAGTAATATAACTTTAATCATTTCTAAGATACAACTGTTCAGAGCTTAACCTAACAAATGGACAATTTTGTTGTTAAACGATTTGTACAATTTTTTTCTTACACCCGGTATATATATCTATCTATATATATATATATATATATATATATATGTGTCTGTGTGCGTGTGTGTGTGTGTGCGTGTATGTGTTTGTGTTTGTGTTTGTGTTTGTGTGTTTCATTGAATAATATACACATATTTTGTCTAATCATTTTTATACTGATCCTTTACAGTTTTAAAAATCGCTATCACAACAGTATGCAGATCGAAAATACTTGGGTTAACAAACGAGATGGAGAGATTGATAAGAACAAAGGAATATAGATATGAATAGATTGAGATGCATAGATAGATAGATCTAAATATACTTATTATTTCTCTCTATATTTTTGATATACAATATACATCGATCGGACTGTTGTCCTCATTTTCATTGCCATATTCACGACGTTTTGGCCGTTGTACGCTCCCGTCTTCTTCATTTGATATACGTTGGAATTTTGAATTGAATTCATTATTTGGTCCATTGGGGGTAGATTGTTCTAATTCCACGTGCCATGCCTTATTTTGATATTTCAATTTCACTTAACTCCTCTTTAGTAAATCAACCCTCGAAATTTTGTACCCTCTGCTGCGGCCAGATATTAAACTCACACCTCTTTGTGCCAATTTCTTTTTTAGATTACTCAACCACTGTATATTACCTTAAAAAGACCGGAGCGTACAACGGCCGATAAGTTGTGAATATGACAATAAAGATTGGGACGACAGTCCGAACGATATAAAATGCGTAAATGGAATATATATATATATATATATATATATATATATATATATATATATATATATATATATATATATGTATGTATGTGTGTGTGTGTGTGTGTGTAGAGAGAGAGTGCAATAAGAACAGATAGATAGATAGATAGATAGATAGATAGATAGATAGATAGATATGATAGATAGATAGATATGAACAGAAATAGATAGATAGATAGATAGATAGATAGTCACGTCACAAGATGTGGATTCCTACTTTTTCCAAGAGTATGCATGGGTAAGTGAATATAACGAAGCCAACTGGAATTAGAACTCGATTCTCCGATTTCCAATTCAGAGCCATTACCCATTACACCACCCGCACCTCCAATCTTACATCACCTGGTAATACCAAGTGGTCACCCATCAAGGTACTGACCAGGCACTACGTTGCTTAATTTCTGTGATAATACGGAAACTGATGTTTCAATGTGATATGCGATATTCAGTGTGGCGTAAGCCCCTGAGATAGGTAGGTATATATATATATATATATATATATATATATATATATATATATATATATATATATATACACCAATTGGTGATAAACATATGATATCATTTCTTCGCTTCGCTATAAACGTCTCACGAAATTTACAGAGAATGTTTAATTATTGTAAAAGAAGATTCGCAGACACACAAATCTCTTTAATAGTAATAAATGTACTTTTCACCATGCAAGGCAATAAAGCCACTAAGATACAAGGGTTTATTTATTGAGAAAGTATCAGAAAAATAGAAACATTAATAAGGTGTGAGAACAGTAGAAGAGTAATGAAGAAGCCAGAAGATAATGATTGACAATGTATTTAAATTTGAGAAGATCAAAGTTGGCTGGAAAGCATGGAGCCGGAAGAGAGTTCCACAAGTGAGAAGTGCGAGTGAAGAAACTGTTAGAAATAGAACTTATGGTTGCGTCTAGCCGATTCAATTGTATATGGATGAGACCTTGTTACCAATCTAGTACTGCGCTTAAATTCATAAAGTCTGGCTACCATAGCGAAGAGCGATATTTATTTCCGCTTCAAATACCGAAAATGTGGCACAAGGCCCAAAAATGAGAATGGGTAAAAGGACAGTCTTCTTCTGTCTAAAATTTAAACTTAGATATCCACAAACACTGACCCAAACATACAAACAATATTCCTAACACCAAAACAACACATTCTTACTTACCTTTCTTATAACATTCACCATAATACCTCTTGTCTCTATGAAAATCCTAACTAGTCCCCATATGTAAAATTCATTGTTTGTTGGGGGAGGGGAATAAAATAACAATTTAAAAACTAGCGCCAATGAGTATTTACAATAAGAATACAAATCTATAGCGAAGAGCTTATGCAAACAATTACCCTGAAAGTATTTATAGAAAAGACAAAGGGAAGCCACGTCACGGCAGTGGGGAAGGAACTGAAGCCGAGGTGCCAGGTCAGGATTAATAATATTGCTGACTCTTTGAATATTATCAAGAATCTTTAAATATGTCGCAGCAATATTCAAAGCATGGACGAATGGTAGACTTATAGATATATATGATAGATTCTGGATGTTGGTTGGTTGTTTTGTTTTATAACATATCAAAACCTCAGTGGGTCATTTAATGCCAACAATTTTTTTGAAATAGATTCATAGCGATAGTTTGGAAAAAAAAAGTTATGTATGTATATATATATATATTTGAACTATTTTTCAATTTCTCATATTTTTCATTACAATCAAACTTCTTTTAGGAAATTTTGCGTTTGGTTTGTTTCGTTTCTTCTTTTTTACAGCATATCACCACCTCAATGGGTTATTTAATAACGACAACTCTTTTTTTTTTCTGGTAATATTTTGTTTTGTCAAAAATCTATTTCTGGTAATATGTTTTTCCTCAAAAATTTATAACTGGTAATATTATTTAAAAAAATGTATTGCTGATATTTTTTTCAAAAACGTATTGCTGGTAATATTTTTTTTCAAAAATTTATTTCTGGTAATAATTTTTTACAAAATATTTCTGGTATTAAAACCTATTTTTACACTTTTACAATACTTTTTACCACAGTTTCGAGGTTAACTATTTGCCCATAGCTGGGACCCTAACAAGTGCTACCACCCCGAGTCAGGGTGGACCTGGGAAACCCAGCAAATAAGAGGTGGTTCCACGCTCCTCAAATCTTCTTGATCAGAGGCTTTGCTGTTGGACGTAGTAGTTCGGACGCGGATGTAGTTTATCGTCATACCCACGGACGCGGATGTAGTTTTTATCGTCATACCCAGGACGCGGAAGTAGTTTATCGTCACGGGGGAAGTACGTGATACCAGGACGCGGATGTAGGTTATCGTCATACCCAGGACGCGGATTTATCGTCATACCCAGGACGCGGATTTATCGTCTTATCCCGCGGAGGACGGGACGCGGAAGTTTATCGTGATATGTTTATCGTGATACCGCGGATGGTTTATCGTCATACCCAGGACGCGGATGGTTTATCGTCATACCGCAGGACGCGGATGTAGTTATCGTCATACCCAGGACGCGGATGTAGTTTATCGTCATACCCCCAGGACGCGGATGTAGTTTATCGTCTTACTCAGGTCGCGGTTTGATTCATAGACGCGGATGTAGTTTATCGTCATCGTCATTATCGTCAGGGTCGCGGTTTTAGTTTATCGTCATACCCGCGGAGGACGTCGGACGTGTAGCTTATCGTCATACCCAGGACGCGGATGTAGTTTATTCATAGACGGGGATGTATCGTCATCCCGGAGGTTTACGTCGGTCGCGGATGTAGTTTATCGTCATACCCAGGACGCGGATAGTTTATTCATGGAACGTCAAAACGCGGATGTGTTTATCGTCATACCCAGGACGCGATAGATTCTGGAACTAAAAATTGTCTAGCACGACCTAACGAACCAACTTTCTTAACCGCAGACTAAGCAGTAGATTCAATATAGACTTTTCACTTCATGTCAGCGGAGGGATATTAGCTCGAGAAGGTGCAATGCGTCACTTTTCTGGAGGTTAGCATCAGTCATACACGTCGGCTAATTTCTTGTACGTTTCTGCAGTTTGTTCAAATGAATGCAAAATAACGTGCATGTGTGAATGATATTTACGATGTCCTTGGAAACTCTTTGTTATTGCGAAACAGAACTGACAATGATGCGAACCAGTTTACCCATTCTTGCTGCAGGCCGATGGAACGAGACAATATTTGCCTTTACCCAGACAAATGAAGCTGAGGCTCCACATGAGACTTGATCATGTATCGATTTCCCCGTCGTGTAGAGACGAATTAATAGTATAGATTAGATCGGTTGTCTTGAATGACGCATTTTTTTTGTTTCTGTATCAGATTCAACTTTGCGATCCACTGAATTGGTTCAAGGGAGATCAAGGTTATTTGGTTTCATCTCTTCTTTATAGGAATAAAATATAAAATTCTTTCGCTGTGTTGTTTTCATCTGCAAACAACTGGATAAGGAGCCAAGATGTTGATCATCTCATATTATCACCCATCTTTTTTCCTTTCTTTTTCATTTTAGCTAGACATTGTTGCTGTCGATTCTTGTCGTAATATATTTCATATCATTTTCATAGAATATTTTATATGATTTTGGTTATCATAAAGTATTTGATATAATATTGTGTATCATAAAATATTTGATATTATTTTCATAAAATATTTTATATTTATTTTTTATATGAATTATTTCATATAATTTTGGGTATCAATATATTTGATATTATTTTCATAAATAATTTGATATTATTTTCACAAAATACTTGATATTATTTTTTATAAAATACTTGATATTATTTTGGGTATTATAAAACATTTGGTATTGTGGTATCATAAAATATATGATATTATTTTTGATATCATAAAATATTTCATATTATTTTCATAAAATATTTCAAATTATTTTTCTTATCATATGATGTTTCATGCTATTTTTGTATCATAAAATATTTGTACAATTTTTGATACTATAAAATATTTCATATTATACACATAAAATTTTGATAATATTTTTTATATTATAATATATTTCATATTATTTTCATATGAAATATTTCATATTATTGTTTGTTATCATAATATATTTTATATTATTTTCATAAAATATTTGGTATAATTTGGGGTATCGTAAAATATTTGATATAATTTTTGCTATCATGAAAAATTGCTATTATGTTTATATCATGAAATATAAGTTATTTTTTGCATGCGAAAATATTCGACATTATTTTCATAATGATAGGAGCACCGGATCATATGTGGCATCAATATTCTAAGCATGGACGAAAGGTAGACTTATAGATATCTAACATAGATTCTGGAGAGAAAATTGTCTAGCACGACACAGTGAACCAACTTTCTTAACAGTAGACCTAGCAATGGATTCAATATCGTCATTCTATTTCGTCTGAGGACTTGAGCCCGAATAGGCGCAACCAGTCACTCTCCAGGAGGTTAGCATCAGCCATGCTGATGGAAAGCAGAAAGACATCTCTCAGATGTTTAATAGAGAGCAGTTTAGTTTTAGAGACATTAAAAATGCGTGTCCCAGTTAACAACAAACTGAAGTTCATTTTGAGATCAGCCGCCAATTTGACCTTATCAAACGGATCAGACTTAGTATCGAGACAGGAGTAAATGGTTGTGTCATTATTCGCATAGATACCAACTTGAGAGCTGATACCATCACGAAGGTCTTTAATGAAAATTAAAAACAAAATAGGACCAAGTATAGAGCCCTGAGGGAACACCTGCTTTTGTACAGAAGGATCTGGAGGAATGGCCATTCAGGAACACTCTCATTTTCAATTCGTCCGAAGACACCATCCCTTTTCAACTTCTGGAGAAAAATATTTCATGTAAATTTAATAAAATATTTTATATTAGTTTTGGTGGCAGAAAATGTTTCATATTATTTTCATAAAATATTTGATATAATTATAAGTATCATAAAATATTTGATATTATTTTATATCATAAAATATTTTATGTTATTTTTATATAAAATATTTCATATAATTTTAGGTATCAAAATATTTGATACTATTTTTTATAAAATATGATATTATTTTATGTCATAAACTATACTATTTTCATAAAATATTGATATTATTTTTATATCATAAAATATTTTATACTATCTTCATAAATTATGTGATATTATTTTTATATCAAAAATATTTGATATTATTTTCATAAAATATTTAATATTATTATTTTTGATCTAATGAAATATTTCATTCAATTTTTATATTAAAATTTTCATATTATTTTTCATAACATGTGATATTATTTTTGATATCATAAAATATTTCATTTTATTTTCATAAAATATTCAATATTATTTTTATATCAAACTATTCGATATCATTTTCATAAAACATATATTATTTTTGATATCATAAAATATTCGATATTATTTTTTATATAAAATCAGTTAATCCATTCATTTACTAATTGGGTAGTGTAACGGTTATCGACGTGGAAAATGAAAGTAGCATACTGCGTTCAAATAGGGCCTGAGTGAATTGTGTTCCCTTTCGCCCTAATACACTTGAGAATGGCATCTAAGAATTCTATTTTTAACGTTCACCCAATACAAGACCTAAGAGCCCCTCAATATAGAAGGTTATAAAATGAGGATGTTGTATGAACGTAACCGGGGAAAATATGTGGATTATGATGTGTTGGATAACGCAAGATCGACCATCGACTTCAGGTTAAGATTCTAGTTTTTTAGGAAGTCTATTCCACATACTAGTTGATCTCGTAGAGAAGCTGTAGTATAAATATGTATTGTTGGTTGGTTGATTTTGTTTAGCGGCATATCAACATATCTATGGGTTATTTAATGCCGAAATCTAAATATTTTGAACAAAATTTTATGGCTTCAACTAAATATATTTTGAACGCAATTGTATGCCTTCAACTACAGATAAAATGTATTGTTGGTCATTTTACTATAAAAATCTACTATTGGTAATATTTTTTTCAGAAAAATCTATTGGTAGTAATTTCACTACAAAAATACATTACAGGTAACGTTTTTATAAAAAGAATTATTCTTGGTATTTTTACTATAATAACCGCTTTGGTTTTTGTTAGGAGTTTCACTATTTGCTCATAGCTGAGACCCTAACATGTGCTGCCAATCCTAGTCAGGATGAACCTGGGGAAAATAGCAGTCAAGCGGTGGTTCCCCGCTCCTCAAAATCTCCTGATCAGAGGCCTTGCTGAGTTGGTCCCACCCTCCTCAATACTTCCAATCTCCCGATCAGAGGCCTTGCTGTCGGATGTAGTTTATCGTCATACCCAGGACTGGAGAAGAAGCTGAGTGAATTTTCCTTCTTTTAAATGAAATACGAAGGGAATGCGGATCATTTGACTCTGTGTACGTGGCATGGCAGGTTTAGCAATATGAGCCAGCAGGGGTCTTGTTAAATTGAAAACAGCGGTACCGATTGCAAAAAAATGGATACGGAACATTTAATTTCGACCGATGGTTGTCAGTATATGAAGTCAACTTCAGAGTAAAGAGCAAGAGGCTCAGACTGAGAGAAAGTCACGGAAGAAAGATAAATAACATTTTCAGACGTACATGGCAAGACAAAGCAAATTGTTATCTATAAAACTGACCCTTCCGCGAAAAGGCACACGGAAGAAACGAAGCGGGCCTCGCAGAATGGACAGGGTAGACAGCCGCTGGAATGTGAACCATTCTCCGCCCATCAGCTACACCTCATCACTACTTCGATCGCTTGTAGCAGTAGATTACAATCCATGAATAAAATCTGGTTTACTGCTAGAAATTGTTTAGTTTTTCATTCGTGGGTAACGATCTGGCCGAAGGGTAATTTTTAAGCCACACGCGTTTGACTGCAAGAAACTGCAGCTACAACGGAACACGGTTCTTAGCTATAAAGGTCTGAAGTAGTAGAACTAACGTGTGTAGCTCGTTTGAACATTTGTCATGGAAATAATGATAAACAAGCAACATTTCATCTGTTGGAGAGGGGCTATAGCGTTTAAAATAATTCATTACCGACAAGGCCGCGTAAACGTATTTCAGCACTGTCAAGGCTGGGAAACATTTATTATTATTATTATTATTATTATTATTTACAGCGCTCTGTTACGTTTAACATAAAGTTCGAAGTTGCTTCGACTTCTGAACCAGTTACCCATCTAAATATTGATCAGATTTGACGCTTCTTAACTTCGGTAATCAGAAACCGGTTCTTTCAGCTTGACTTGACCGTGATTCTAATATCATTTGATCTCATATTACCTCGAATGTGAGGTTTGTTTGCACACGGAAACTTGATACGTTATGACTCATTGTGAAAATGATTGTGAAACATTTTATAAGTAATTGGAGCTTGTTTATATGAAACTCTCCTTCCTTCCTACTTTGTAAGACGAAACTCAAAATGAATCCCGTTGAAGGATACAAAAACAACTAACACTAAACAAAATTAAATAAATATTAAGGTTCAATTGTGTGGTAAAGTTATACAAAGTCGCGTTTTAATAAAACTTAAAGATATTTTCATGGTGGTATGATATCGGGCAAAAATTATTATGGCTTGGTCTTTTTTATTACAATATATATAAAATGCCTGATGAGAAAAACGAAGATACATTGAACAGACTGTGATAGATAGATAGATAGATAGATAGATAGATAGATAGATAGATAGATAATGAACAGTGATAGATATGAACAGACTGAGATAGATAGATAGATAGATAGATAGATAGATAGATAGATAGATAGATATGAACAGACTGAAATAGATAGATAGATAGATAGATAGATAGATAGATAGATAGATAGATAGATAATGAACAGTGATAGATATGAACAGACTGAGATAGATAGATAGATAGATAGATAGATAGATAGATAGATAGATATGAACAGACTGAGATAGATAGATAGATAGATAGATAGATAGATAGATAGATAGATAGATAGATATGAACAGACTGAAATAGATAGATAGATAGATAGATAGATATGAACAGACTGGAGATAGATAGATAGATAGATAGATAGATAGATAGATAGATAGATGGATAGATAGATAGATGAGATGTGAACAGACTGAGATAGATAGATATGAACAGACTGAGATAGATAGATAGATAGATGATAGATAGATAGATAGATAGATAGATGAATATGAACAGACTGAAATAGATAGATAGATAGATAGATAGATAGATAGATAGATAGATAGATAGATAGATGTGATGATTTTTCATTGAAAAGTAGCCGCCGCTTTCGACGCTCCGAAGACAGAGAAGTCTGGGAGCTTTTACATCTTCCACTGGCTGAATAGTTGTAGTCTAACCCCACATGATGAAATGGCTGGAAATACTGTTAAGAAGTCAAACCAATGATAACTAAACATAATATTATAAAAACCCTAAACTCACTATCATTCATGAGGATTTTTATTGTAGACCAGTCCTACACAAAATACCGCCTGTGATCTGACCCGAAAGTTTACCCAGTGAGGCCCGCGAGGCATTTACAAATTAGTCAATTCATCAGAATCAATTCAGTAACTGGTCACGTACGAATACATTCAGTCTTTCCGTAGCCTAATCAATCAATATTTCTCTGTTTTTGTATTTAATTAATCCTTTTAACTCTTTGTAGAAAGAAGAAAAAGAAATAAATTTTGCGCCATCTTTGTTTCTCTTTCTTTCTCTCTCATTCTCTCTCTCTCTTTCTGTAATTTACGTATTTGCCTTCGCATAACGCGCAGCCCCATATAAGACGCCTCTTATATAACAAGGATCTTTTGTGGAAAAAAACGTTTTAGTATTTTTCATCACATATTTATGGGAATGGTTTCGTAAAGAAAAATCTTTGATTTTGTGCTTTCATATAGAATATTGCAAGAGTAGACCTGGAATAAAGTATGAAAAATCATGTTCTGTAACTTTAACCTTGAAAGGAAACTAAATTTGCCACATTTGTATCAATGAATACAGTATTTAGTCGCCCCCCCCCCACGAGGGCATCATGTGGCACAAGGCCGGTTTAACGTGGGATCTCCGAGCCTGTGGGCTCGGCCAAAAATATGCCCTTTGAACACGTATAGACGGGTTCAGGGTCGGTTTACCTCCCCAAAAGAGACTCCGCCCTTCGGCGTAGCCTCGTTCGGGTTCCTCCCCGCCCGAAGGCAGAGAGTTCAACCGATCAGCCGGTCGTCCGACTTCAGACAGAACTTTGTATCAATGAATACTGGTAGGTATAAACAAAGCAAATTGATATGAAGCAATCAGTAAAGTACAATAAATGTGAATGGATTCTTATAGATAATTAGAGTACATATAGAAAAGGATATCATTAAAGTACAATAAATGTGAATATCTCCTTTTAGGTAATTCGAGTACATGCAGACAAATTTTAAATATTTCACTGAATTTTGCCAGCGGTACACTCGGCTGCACTGAGCGCAGGGCAGGTTTTTAAATTTTAAAAATTTTGAAAAAACCATCTGTTGTGAAGATATATACGGTCCCCTGTAAAATGTATTCTTACGGCTCGTGGCTAATTTTTTACTATCAATGTGACCCTTCATTTTTTAAAAACTTTTTTTCAAGCCTTCTGTAGGCATATAAAATCAGCGCTAATAAAAGTCCTCACTTTCTAAATGTGCCGCATTTTACTAAAACTACGAAACTCCTATATCTGATTTGATTTTATTGGAAGTAAAAAAATCATACGAAATAAAATGAACGTGATCTTTAGCGCCGGGGAAAACCCCATTTTCTTCTAAACGACGTGAAACTTTAACTGTGCGGTCAAGTGTCGCCAACACTGGTCAAGTGGTCCTTAAACTGGAGACGTTGGTCACGACAAGTGCCAATCCGCTTAACAAATGACTATGTTGCTGACATTCTATGACAATCGCGTGGGTGGATAATAATAATAATAATAATAATAATAATAAGAAGAAGAAGAAGAAGAAGAAGAAGAAGCAAAAATAAATTCTCGGTTACACATACAAATATAAATATGGCCATTGATCTCACTAAATCAATCTTTCGGCCTTGTGTCACACATACGTTACCCTTAGAAAACCATCATAAAGTATATATAAAGTAGAAAATATGGCAACACGAATTTACGTCAGAATATTTTAGATAAGGTATGCTTATCTTTTTGTACTCACGGCATTTCTACCGGAAAGGCTTGAGACACAGGGTCGCGTGGTGACAAAAAAATGTCTACCATACCTGCGGGTATCAGACAGGACCCACTTTTCATTTCTAGCGAGCACTCGATCAAATATGGCTACATTGCGGTGCCGAGAAAGCAACAAGAAATAGGTCATTACTTGTTGCTTGTTGGCTTCCAACAGTCTTATGGGGTACCCACTTGTTCAACTTCCCTATTTTGTAAGTCGTCCTGTTGCTGGTATTCGTAACAGGTGTTCTTTTTTTTTTTTTTTTTTTTTTTTTTTAATAAACTTAAAAAGACATGTTTTAAAAAAAATAAAAACAATATGTAAAGTTTGAATGCCGTTTTTCGGTGTGAACATCTTTTTAAAAGAATTTCACTATTTTTTTCCCTCATTTTTTTTAGATGATTTTTTTAAAATGATTTTTGTACGGAAGTTCAAGAAGGAAATAATTCTGAATTAACGCATTTGACTGACTACTCTTCATGATTAAAAAAATAATAATATATGATAATTCTTAACTCTTCAGAATAATCAAAAAAAACCCTCATTGGTTGCAAATAAATATTATATGAGATCAACCTACGTCACATCCGGGTGGTTTCCCGTGAAACCCTCCCCTTGGTTAGGTTAGACAAGCTTTTTTGTACCTAGTTAATGTTAAATAAGAATTGTTCCTTGCCTGTTTCCGGCTGCCTCTTTGGTTATGATCCAAGATGAGATTCCTCCCCAGTTTGTTTTGGCGTCTTTTTATCTCGACTGGGTCAGTTTTTTATTCCCCATGTCTGTATATTTTTCTCCTTTCGCACTTCCTTAGCGAGAGAGCCTCTTGATTTTGTCCAAGGGGTAGAATACAGCGGCCTCTCTTTTTTGAGGGTTGGGCGGGCCCTACTAGCATCAGTTATGTTTAGTTTACTTTGTGTTTATATTTAGTTTGTTTTGGGGTTTCATTCCCCCCACCTCTCGTTCTATTCATCCATAAATTTTTAAGTACATATTTTATAATCATTTGAATTTTATGGCATGGGGCACGTTTTGTAGGACCCCCTTGAGAGGATGCGGTATTATGGTGTATGGAGGATTGATTGGTGACGGACGAGTTCTTGTGGTGAATACGCAAATTGTAATGTGCGAATGGATCGTGAATCAGATTAGCTAGGTAGAAGATAGTTAGTGACGACCAGCCTCATACCCTCCCCATTTTGGCCTTGTGCCATAATTGTATTCTAAATACAATAAATAATAATAAAGGTATAGAGCAAAGTTCGCCTACCGTTCGTCGTCAAAGTAATTCTTGCCGGCAACCAGAACCTTTTGTCAATGTGCCTCCACAGCTTCACAATGTTCTGGCAGTAAAAATCAGCAGTCTGTTTTTTTTTTCTTTTTTCAACAGTTCATCCTGTACAAGGCCTGGTGGCCACTAGAGATAGACGGTTACATTAAGAGGCATTTTATGCGGATAGGAGAGAAAGATAAGGATTAACACTAGACTTGAAATGGTTAAGATTATCGTGATCGGGGAAATATCCTCTCGGGAGTCGGTTCCACAGAGCATTAGTTCACGAGAAGAAGGGAACTTCTTACCAATGGAATAAGGAAAGAATGAGGGTGGTTTGCTACAATGTGAGTGTCATGGTGGATCCAAGCCGTGAAGGTTAAAATTCACGAAACCAATGTAGTTCATCTGAGCACTTTCAAGTAGCAATAGAGCAGTGAGAGGCTTTCCACCTCCCGCATGTGAGTCAGAGGTTGAAAATAATTTGTCACCCAATAATTTGTCACCCAATAATTTGTCACCCAATAATTTGTCACCCAATAGGACTCGGAGATGCTTTTGGAAACTATCGAGACTGAAACGCGATGCCTGAGCAGCTCCTGCCCAAATCTGACAACATTACTCCATTTTCGGCCTGTGAGTGCCTGCCGCAAGCCTGTCTCATTTGCGAAGGATTTCCCACAAAGGTGTTTCTCTAGTGAATGGAAGAGGGGGTAATCTGTTGCCGCAAGTTGCAGATAGTAAGATGTAATGCACAGTGTCTCCCAGCTAAGTTGCCGTACAGTATCCCTGTCCACTCGCGTCACATGAGGCCTGTCACTTTTACAGGGGAACAGTATACACTCTTACGATTAACAAATGCTGCCTCCTTCTGTTTCAATGCCTGTTGCACACGTTCCAAATGCTGCGATTAAAAGTCCACAGTGATGGTTTTGGCCCATTGGCAGCAGCTCATAGTGCAGCACTTGTCGACTAGGCCACCGGATACAGAACATTATCTTGTGTGGATGTAGAGATGGTCTTGTGGTGTGAGGTATAGGATCCCATGGCTCCAACTAATGTCTGGAACGCTTAGCAGTGTCATACAGGACCCACCTTTTGTCATTAGTGAGCACTCGATGAAAAGGTAATAGAAACATCGCCACCAAAACCAAAAGTGTAGTTTCCTATTCTGGACCCACGGGGAAGATGTGCAAATCCTGTGGAACCATGGAAACCCAATAACACTTTCCGTACAGTTTTGAATGGAATAGAAAACAGACTATTAACTGTCCTTCCTGAATGTATTAATAATTCACATATATGCTGATATGTCTTAATTTCTTAAAATGTAAAAAATACGACTTTTTTTAATTCGTAATTTAGTGTTATTTTTACATAATATCAATTAAGGAAACTAAACTACAAATTTCTATTTTTTTTTTTACATTTTGAGATTGATTGATTTTTTACGGTTTATCAACCTTTTACAGGTTATTTAAAGATGTTGACAATCTGTGTGCAAACAATGCACACCCAAGTCTGATTTGCAATTGTAAGTTCTATTCTAATTATTTCTTTTCTCGCTCTTCTCGCCTGTGGAACTCTCTTCTTTTTTCTTGCTTCCATGCCACCTACGTTCTTCAAAAATTTAAATGCCACGTCAATCGCCATCTTCTGTCTACTTGAAGCCTTTTTCATTCCCTATGATCTACTTGCGTCTTAGTAGCATTATCGCCTTTGCTCGGGGTGAAATGATAAAAAAAATTATATAAATTGATTATACTTTTGCATGAACTTTTTCCGGCATCACTATTGATGTCGGAAAAAGCAGCATTTGGAACGTGTGCAACAGGCATTGAAGCAGAAGGAGGCAGCATTGATTAATCGTAAGAGTGTATACTGTTCCCCCGTAAAAGTGACAGGCCTCATGTGACGCGAGTGGACAGGGATACTGTACGGCAACTTAGCTGGGAGACACTGTGCATCACATCTTACTATCTACAACTTGCGGCAACAGAATACCCCCTCTTACATTTCCTCGAGAAACACCTTTGTGGGAAATCCTTCGCAAATGAGACAGGCTTGTGGCAGGCACTCACAGGCTTAAAAGGCTCTATCGTCCACCATACAACATTAACGAAAATGCAATGAAGTCGTTTTCTAACCCTTAAAAAGTACTGAGAAAAAACATACTGTCAATGACCCTTGAGTTAACAATAATAATTAATATACCAAGCGGAACAAGAGGTTTTCCACACCAGTGTAAAAGAATCTAATCTCAAAACAAAAGCAATATTTTCAGTGCAACAATATTTAAATTAAACTTGAAAATTATATTTAGCAAAATTTTAATTTGGAAAGATTACAAATGTTTTACTGAAGGCCATCTTCGTGCTTTACATTTAGAAAACCGATTTGAAAATTATGAGATAGTTTATAAAAACATAGATAGATAGATAGATAGATAGATAGATAGATAGATAGATAGATGTGAAAAGGCTCAGATAGATAGATAGATAGATAGATAGATATGAATAGGTTCAGATAGATAGATACGAACAAACAGGGATAGATAGATAGATAGATAGATAGATAGATAGATAGATAGTGTTAAGGGGTCCACCCTTTTTCATACAAGTGGACTCGCCCAGTGTGTACTTGTACTGCTGCCGGTGAATACCCGGGAGTGAGAAAGTGAGAGAGTGAGAGTGTGAGGTAACCGCTTTGTAGGAGTCACAGTTGCGAGCACGTAGACTCAGAAGGAAGTCATACTTCGATACTGAATTTCCCAGACGGTATATATATTATTGCTACTAACCGCATTTCTGGATCTACTAACCGTATTACCAATTGTATTATTACGTCAATACATTTATTTGTTATATTTCATTCCTGCGTTTGTCATTCATTTGAGGCTGGATTTCATCTCGGAATCCACAACAGATAGATAGATAGATAGATAGATAGATAGATAGATAGATAGATAGATAGATAGATATGAATATGCTCAGATAAATAGATAACATCAACGAGTCACCTTCTGGACAACTTGATAATGTTGGACTCGAATCTCCTAGTCAGAAAGCAAAAGTTCTCACCACTTGAACACGTGATCATCGATTAGGAAAGATATAAAACGAATTTCACGTTCCGCCATTTGTGCGTTAATATATATCGACGCTGTAATGGAAAATCGGGAACCGAATTTGAATTCCACTCGAGATCGTTACCTCCAGTTACGGGCAAATATCCTTGGCTATGTTATAAACCCATCTCCCCTCCACACACACACACCAGTCACAGGTTGAATAGCAAGATAGACCTGATCTGATACCCTTGGTTGACAACAAGTCTACCGCAACCAACTGCGGGAAAATCTTCTGCCTCGTCAGTCAAGTATCGTAGGAGACATGCTCGCCCCTACGTATGGCACTTAACTGAGAGACTCAACAGTTATTTAGAGAAACAAAGGTGAGGAAGTTGGTGAGAGCCATATTCACGCAAGGGTGCAACACGTATTAACTGACTAACTCAATGTTAGGATTCTGTAGATGTCTTCAGATTGGACGTCTTTATCACAACGTTTCAGCTACATTTTCTTTCGACTGGTTTTTCTCTTTAAATCACAAAGATGAAGTTTTTGTTTTTTTTTATTATTATACATTGGTTATTTTAGATTCTTTCTCTTTCTCGCCTGCTGTGTCCTCCAATTTAAACTCAATCCTTTATAAAGGATTTTTCAAATCCCAGCCTAATTCACCCGTACATTGCTCTAACCATAATCCAGCTATTATCTTATCTTGAAGTTGTCGTGATATCAGTACTTGTGGAGAAAACAGTGCGGGTTCAATAAATCGTGGCTCGCGTATCATCCAGGCTTTTCTGTTTGAATCTGATCCATGCCACGCCTTCCATCTAGTAACCTGTTTCTATTCCTCTCCGTCACTTGTAGAACTGATAATGCCCAGGCTACGGCTTTTTGTCTGTCAGTTCCACTGGGGCGGAGCACAGGTGCCATTTGTTGCTGTCGTGGTGCAGCTGTTGTAATAGTAGCGATAATAGTGAATGGTACGAGCAGTACAAGTAGAGCTGGTGCTTGCTGAAGTGCTTCTCATCGATTTCATGGATCTGGGCTTCACTGTTTATTGGGTTTGCTTTGTTTGAGGTGGGTGTGTTGCGGTCTGTATGTTCGATACGAGGACATAGGAGGAAAACAAGCAATGGCATGTCTGTGTGCAGTGCGTGTGTGCAGATTTACGGGCGAGAGAGCGTGTGAGAGAAATGAATACTAACCATAGATAGATAGATAAATAGATAGATAGATGGAAACAGAATATGATAGATAGATAGATAGATAGATAGATAGATAGATAGATAGATAGATAGATAGATAGAAACAGAATTAGATAGAAACAGAATAGATACATAGATTGACTGATTGATTGAAACAGAATAGATAGATAGAAACAGAATAGGATAGATAGCTATAAACAGAATAGGATAGATAGATAGATAGATAGATAGATAGATAGATAGATAGATAGATTGGAACAGAATAGGATAGATAGATAGATAGATAGATAGATAGAAACAGAATAGAATAGATAGATAGATAGATAGATAGATAGATAGATAGATATAGATATGAAATTCTTTAAAGACTAATTTGGCCTTGTTACTTCACTAAGTGATGCTTATCAAATAACTATTATTACATTTGCTATCGAAGCTTGACACACATTACGCATTGACCTACGTTTTTTTCCGAAGTATATCTCCCAAAATCCGGAATTAAATTCTTCGCCATTTTCTGAAATCCTGACATTATATGATTTGGCATAAGTGACTAAATTCTAAAAGAAATAAACGAATGCTTTTTCGATTTTACAAACATTGTAAAATATTCCATTTTGCAGGAGCATTAAAATTGTAACGTTGCTATCTGAATGACGTCATCATACTGAAAGTGTCGTTCAATAACGCTAATGACGTATTCACTATGGCGCTTACGTTTTATTTTACAAATAATTATTAAAATTATTTTTGCTGATAGATTTTTTTTAGAGATTTCAAGGGTTATTGGCCCTCGTTCGATGGCGTTCCTTCGGAGGATTGACGCGATTGCGTCTCGATTAAGAGACAAGCCTCGCGAAACGGAGTGGCTCTTACAGCGGGTCTCATTGGCGATGGTTCGAGGTAATGCTTTCTCCATCAATGCGGCTGGCAGAGGTTATAAAAAATTGTTTATAGTTACTTTGTTCAAACTTTTTTTTTCCAGTAAATAAATTTCTCTATACACATTAAAAAAGCGTACATAAAGCCAGTCGTAACAATAGCAACATCTTTAATTAAGTTTCTTGTCACGTTTTTTTTTTTTTTCTCGCGTGGATGTTGCTGGTTGTTCATAAATTATCTTTTTTTTAAAAAAAAAAATCGGCATCATCTCTTTATGCTTATTAAATTGTTGCCTTTATTGATGAAGGCTTTTATGGTAATGTCTTTGTCCTGTTCCAGTTTTGAAAGAAATCGAGAGCGAACATCAGCAGGAGCAGATTTAAGCCCTCGATAAAATTCAAACATTATTAAAAACTACTTTTAACGAGTGAAAATTCCACGTTTTGGGGGGGTTTCTGAATTTTCTGGTGAATCAATTCTTCAGTTAATGACTGAATAAGGTCATGGCGACAATAAAATATCCGTATAAATTCCACTATCATGTCGTTAAATAATTGAGCATGACAACAAATTGCAATAACAATCATAAATACGAATACTGGTCATTATTTTAAGAAGTAAGGGGGTACAAATAAGAAGAGTTTCCATTTTACTGTAACTTCTTTCTTTCATTTGCGCACTGAAACCAAGTAATACACCTGCTATGCATTTTCCTTCTTTCCAGTCATTGACAAGGCGTAACGGTCGTGTTAACACAGGGGCTGAGGTAGCGACAAGCAGAACTATGAGAAAATAATAATAAGATAAGGCTTTTATTACGACTTACTTTAGGATTAGAAACCAAATTTGTAAGGGCAAGGCTTATCAATCTCTGGAGGCTTTACGCCAATTCAGTCGGATTTTGATCCGAGCTATAGGCAACCGGACGTCTATCCACACTGATGACCTGTCATACAGCGAAACAGTCTGTCTGTGGATGACAATATATATATATATATATATATATATATATATATATATATATATACACGTTTCATTAAAAAGACTCGACAACGAATAAGGTGTGCCTGTTTAATTTTCCACAGAATACCTGTATATATATACAAAGGATAATTATAACTACTACACAGAAAACACATTGCTTCTTGAAAATGACTGAGATGGACGAAACTACTTGAAAAAAAAATAACGCATTATAAACTTCAAAGAGTTTATTAACAATTTCGAGCACAATACGAAACACTATATTCGAAAATTAAAAAGACAGATCTTGTTGGTTCTTTTAAATCAAACATATATATATATATATATATATAAGCACTTTATGTACATACATATATATATTAGTCACTTCATATATATATATGTGTGTGTGTGTGTGTCTGTGTGTGTGTGTTGAGCCCTTCAACCTATAAATATAGCATACCTTAAAACGATATTTTTATCATATTCAGTTATATGGATATTAGCTTGTAACCCTGGGTTTCACGCTTTTGAAAACTTCAATATAATTATTTAAATTAAATTGAGTTAAAATAAGCTCTGTTCCATCTTCAAGCGAAATTTTTTTTTGGAATAACGTATATTTGAAATTTACGTGTTTTAAAAATTGAAATCAAAATTTCCATGGTAACAGCTAGGGCGAATTGTTTAAATTGGGTAGGCGAGTGTTGGGTGTTAATAATAAGTATCAGATATACGTTATTCCAAAAAAAATTTTGCTTGAAGATGGAACAGAGCTTATTTTAACTCAATTTAATTTAAATAATTATATTGAAGTTTTCAGCTCTTGTTTTGAAACATGAGACTTCTTATGTAGCGTTTTGAAATCATATTTTTAAATAAATAATTATATATATATATATATATATATATATATATATATATATATATATATGATAATATTAGTGGAAAATATACATACATATGCAAAATATATATAAAAAATTCCCATACATGTATATTTTCAGAAAAAATTTTCCAAGAGGAAGGATCCAGGTAGAACTCAATGTCTAGGACAGAGTAAGGATATAATAAAAAGGCTTAAACACTAATATTCCATGGTCATAATTTATTCCATTAGAATCGTAAATACGATCCAAATCATCAGACCTACAAATTCAAAATGAAAACAAAAAACAACTCCGGAAATCAAAACAGAATTTAGAGAAAGTGTAAGTATGCGGAGGAGGGACATGAAACCTTAACAGAGAGAATTTTAGGAGATGTGGGGGGGATTTAAAAAGAGGAGAGAAAGAAAGTCGACGGATGTCTAATGCATAAAGATACATTTCGTGGTGACATATACACACCATAGACAATTAGTATAGTTACCTATATTTGTATATATATATATATATATATAAAAGTGAACATAAAGTCAACATGCAATCGTCAGGCCTGACGATTGCATCTAGCATCAAACAGACTGTCGCCTCATCTTGACTTCTATGTTCACTTTTATATTTACACACGCTCTATCTTTGATATTGAGCACTTTATCCCATAAATATAGCACACCTTAAGACTATATTTCTTCATATATATATATATATATATATATACCGGGTGTAACAGAAAAATTGTTCAAAACGTGTAACAGCCTAATTGTCCATCTAAAAATGTTTAATATCTAAAAACAACAAAACAAATTGTGTTTCTTTCACCCCCCCCCTTGTTTTCACATAAGACGTTTAGATATCTTGACACCATTTCTCTTAAGAATCACTGAAAAATCTGTCGAGTAATTCAGCTAGAAAGAGAACAGGTTAAACTCGCTTTGTGCTAGACCCACTGTCTTCCCAACTGAGCAATGTTGAGAGGAAAATGATCATTCAGGCCTTCAGTATTGGCACCAACATTCATACACTGGCTTCCATCTTCAAAGTTCATTCAAAAACCATCAAGCGAATGTTGAATAAGTTTAAAAAGAAGGGAAACTGGGTCAGGAGGTCAGAACCGGAAGTGGGATCATCATTTCAACTTAGATAGAGTTAAAGAGATCAATTAGAAAAGATCCAACTCAATCTATAAAACGTTTGACACGTAAGAGAAGAGTTTCAGCTATGACAGTCCAAAGAGCAACGAAAAAGACTTGGAAATGAAATCGTACGTGAAAACTGTGAGGCAACTTTTATTCCAGGAAACAAAGATCATCTTGAATAATTTTGAAAATGATCCTGGAATATATATATACATATATATATATATATATTATTACGTCTGATATATATATATATATATATATATATATATATATATATATATATATATATATATATATGCAAATGAGAGAAAGAAAAATGAATTAAAATTCCGCTGTTCGTAGCATTTACTTTTTTTTCTAAGGTACTCAATACAATCAGAAATGTATTATTATTTTCTTTTCGATATTAAAAGAAAAGCAATTTAAAATCGCTACACAATAGCTTTCATGTTTCGGCACTACGTTGTACCTCTTCAGGAGAATAGTAAGAGACTTTACCATTCAGCTGAACGTCTTTATTCACTGGGCCTTGTGTCCTTCAGGACATCTCTGTATGAATTTTTGGGACTTATAATGTCTCAGCACAATGGCCGAAACGTTGTGAATATGGTTATGAAGATGAGGATAACAGTTCGAATAATGTAAATAATGCAAGTAATTATTAATCGTATGATGGAAATGAAGCACGGACAGAAAAGTTTTAAGTTCGTAATTTTCGGACATATATATATATATATATATATATATATATATAATAAAAATGGCTTAAATCCTTACTCTGTCCTGGACATTGAGTTCTACCTAATTTTTTTTTATACAAATATACAGTGTAACCCGGATATAAGAGAAACCCGGATATAAGAGAGATTTTCTCTGGTCCCAAATTAGAGCCTGTGTTAATGTATATATAATAGACCAAACCTGGATATAAGAGAAACCCTGATATCAGAGAAACCCGGATATAAGAGACTTCTTCTCCGGTCCCGACAACTCTCTTACATCCGGGTTACACTGTATATGTATGTGTATGTATGTTTATATATTTATATATTTTGCATATGTATGTGTTTACCACTATTATCTATATATATATATATATATATATATATATATATATATATATATATATATATAAAGTGAACATTGAAGTCAACACTCAGAGGCGACAGGCTGTTTCATGCTAGACGCAGTCGTCAGGCTGCATGGAATTGGAACTCTCCGGTTTCTAATTCAAAGCCGTTGTCCATTAAACTGCTTGAATTTACTAGCTTACAGTATATTAACAAGCGGTCACCCATCCAGGTACTGACCAGGCTCGACGTTGTTTAACATTTGAAAGTGAATCACTAATGAACAATGAAATCTAAATGCTTTTCATTTTCAATTATATATTTAATGAGAGATAAGGTTTTGGAATAAAGTAAGTAAGTATTTTAAAAAATATAGATAGTCAGATATGAAAAGATAGATATGAATACACTCAGATAGATAGATAGATAGATAGATAGATAGATAGATAGATGAAAGGAACACCGATATATAAAAGTGCAATGGTGAATGGGGAGGACCATAATTATGTTCGATATTTCCGCTATAAAATTCTACAAAAGGTAAGAAAATGTTTTGTTCTTTTTTGGAGCTTCTTTATGACAGTTTGATAAGTCTCCCTGTCGAAGGGTGACGTACGACAGAAATATATTTTTAATTCTCGCTAATTCAGGTGCAAGCCATTTTGTGCAGGTGCGAAATGACAACGCAGGTAGCAAGCAGCGGAACCTAGAAGTTTGGATGATTCCAGCGGGGTGAATAGTCTGAGAGAATCGACAGATCACTCAGAAGATTGGAAGAGAGAAATCACGTGATGACCGAATGAAGAAAAGAAAAGAAAAGAAATAATAACACCACCACCACCACCACCCAGCCGAGCTGAGATGTCTGAAGAGACACGTGCACAATGCAAACATAAATTTAGGTTTACAACGAAAGACCCGTACCTACACATATATTCTATTCTTGCATACAGACAAGAATGCATATGCATATTTGTGCACACATACGTCTACAAAGGCACACACACAGACACACATAGACACACAGATTGTACGTCTGTAAGTAGGTATTTTATAAAAGATAGATAGATAGATAGATAGATAGATAGGAATAGGCTCAGACGGATAGATAGATAGATAGATAGATAGATAGATAGATAGATAGATAGGAATAGGCTCAGGCAGATAGATAGATAGATAGATAGATAGATAGATAGATAGATAGATAGATATGAATAGGCTTAGATAGATAGATAGATAGATAGATAGATAGATAGATAGATAGATAGATAGATAGATAGGAATAGGCTCAGATAGATAGATAGATAATGAATAGGCTTAGATAGATAGATAGATAGATAGATAGATAGATAGATAGATAGATAGATAGATAGATAGATAATGAATAGGCTCAGATAGATAGATAGATAGATAGATAGATAGATAGATAGATAGATAGATAGATAATGAATAGGCTCAGATAGATAGATAGATAGATAGATAGATAGATCAAAGGAACGATCAAAGATATATAAAAGTGCAATGGTGAATGGGGAGGGCCATAAATATGTTCGATCCCTTCTTGACTTCCTACGTTCCAACGAAGTCAGCCGTCGAGCTGGCACGCTAAGAATCACGTGCACCTACAGAAGACGCCCACGCGTTTCTTAGTGACGCCTACGTAACATCCAGGCATTGACACACATTTCACGTGCGCATCGACGTCGACATCGTTGCAGTTCACCAACCAAGACGCACTTGTTTCTTCCTTTTCTCTCTCTCTCTCTCTCTCAAGAGGCCAACGTTAAATCCCTCACGCGCAACTAAAAACGCACGCACACTGATACCTATTCATTGATAATTTATGCGCGCACCTAGATGCAAAATCAATTACTTTTAATTCCAGGCCCCAAAATATGTTCTTAACCTTTTTGGGTATCTCGTTTCGTACGACATGTGTTGACGTAAGAACATCAACAAAGCCCATTCCGATGAAATCCTGTCGGGTGAAACGCGTCGTTTATGATATTTTTTTTTTAAATAGTTTTTGTTGATATATAAAATTATACAAAATTATATATATAATATATATATATATATATATATATATATATATATATTGGTGTGTTTTTTTAGCAGGCTTTTTTTAATTCATAAATTTTTCATAAAAAAATATAGACAAGTGTTGTCTATTTATTTTATGTAAATTCTTTTCATAACGTCTGATAAGTTTAATAAAATTAATATATTGATCCATATTTTTTAATACAATCTAAGCTTTATTATTTAATGAAACGTGTATATATATATATATATATATATATATATATAGCACCTGACTAATATCTAAAGGTGAGCAACACTATCTCACAATCTGTTACTGCTATTGACAATACACATAGAATATCTTCCAGTTGTGGTCTCGGATCAAATTCAATTATGGTTAATAAACGACGCCTCTGAATCAAGCACTAAATACGCACAGACACTAATACACAAGGGCACGCGCATAGAATTAACATTAAATATATATCAAATTATACATACACACACATACGCACACACACAAACACACACACATAGATATATATATATATATAGATAGATAGATAGATAGATAGATAGATAGATAGATAATATTAGTGGTAAATATACACATACATATGCAAATATATATACATACATGCAAACACATACATATATATTTTGCATAAAAAAAATTCCAAGAGGATAGAATATATATATATATATTGTGAAAAGAATTAGAAAGAAGTAAATCTATATTTTTTAAAGTTTTCTTGAAATTTTATTTAAGTTTCCACATGTCCTCCATCATTAGCAATACAAAGGGTAATACGATTTTGCAATTCACGGAAAACATTTGCCAATTGATTTACAGTAATGCCTGAAATCACATTAGTTATTTTAGCTTTCAAATCTTCTAATGAACGAGGTTTGGTTGCATACACAATTGTTTTCACATGTTCCCACAAAAAAATCTAATGGATTCAAATCTGGCGAACGTGGATGCCAATAAAATGGTCCACCCTTTCCAATAAATCTGTTAGGAAATTCCTGATTTTGAAACTCTCTAACACGCAGAACAAAGTGACAAGGAACTCCATCTTGTTGAAACACTATATTATGACATTTTTTACAGATTATTTCTATCGTAAATACAAATAAAGTTATACATTTTTTAAAGTACACACGAACTTTATGGATACCTTATATATATACAGTGTATCACGAAAGTGAGTAGACCCCTCACATTTCTTCAAATATTTAAGTATATCTCTTCATGGGACAGCACTGAAAAAATTACCTTTTGACACAATAAAAAGTAGTCTGTCTGCAGCATATATAACAGAGTTAATTTCATGATCTCCAACATGTACTGTGAAATACTACAGCAGAGCATGATCCCCTCCCTCCAGAAACTGGGTCGCAGAGCAGTGTTCCAGCATGACAGTGACCCCAAACACACATCCAAGACAACCACTGCTTTACTGAAGAGGCTGAGGGTAAAGGTGATGGACTGGCTAAGCATGTCTCTAGACTTGAACCCAATAGAACATCTTTGGGCCATCCTCAAGCAGAAGGTGGAGGTGCGCAGAGTCTCAAATATCCGCCAGCTCCGTGATGTCGTCATTGAGGAGTGGAAGAGCATTCCAGTGACTACCTGTGAAGCTCTGGTAAACTCCATGCCCAAGAGAGTAAAGGCAGTTTTGGATAATGATGGTGGCCACACAAAATATTGACAGTTGACATGTTGTATGTTAATATTGACAACTTTTCCTAAGGGGTGTACTCACTTTTGCTGCCAGGGATTTAGCTTTTAATGGCTATATTTTGAGTTATTTTGAGGGAAAAATAAATTAACTCTGTTATATATGCTGCAGACAGGCTACTTTTCATTGTGTCAAAGTGTCATTTTGTCAGTGTTGTCCCATGAAGAGATATACTTAAATATTTGAAGAAATGTGAAGGGTGTACTCACTTTTGTGATACTATATATATATATATATATATACTAGCAGTAGAGCCCGGCGTTGCCCGGGGATGTAACAGTAAGAGATAGATCAAGTATCGACCATCATAAAGACTGAAAAATAAAATTGACAAAGATTATTGTTTAAGGTTGACGGACACGCATGTCTGAATTAGTTTTTTTTTTTTGTTTTTTTTTGTTTTTTTACGAATTGGTCAAGCTGAAACAAAAACATTGTTTTCAATCATTATGAGTCTATCGATTGAATAGAATTTTATTATAAGCAATTGTCTTGTAAATGGAATTTTTAAAGCATTCTGAATGTAAAAATTAAAGAAAGTGTGCAGGACAATAAGAAACACTACCTGCCAAAAAAAAGTGAAGTTTTGTTGAAATCGGTTGAAAAATGTAAGAAATCCGATCACATATATAACAGAACACACACACACAAACAAACAACCTGGGTTTTATAATAAGTATAACTCGATATGAGTTGTCCCCCTTTCATTCTGGCGACAGAATCGTGTTTTATCGTGTTTTCAAATTGATTTCATGCAAAAACAATTGTGTTTTGCCATTTTCTGGCGCTGTCAGAACCACCACAAGGTAATTTTACGTAGTCCTGTGAAGTTTTGTTGAAATCGGTTGAAAAATGTAGGAAATCCGATCCAATATATAAACGTACAGACACACACACACACACACACACACACACACAATCTGCGTTTTATAATAAGTAATATATATATATATATATATATATATATATATATATATATATATATAAATAAGATATAGCACATTGAGTGCTAGTGCTAATAAAATATTGCTTGATGTAATGTAACAGAGCAATTAAGTATGTATTGATAAATATACATTTTATTCCGTACCGGTAGCACGTCTCGGAATTTCATGCACAACGCAGTCTTCAGGAACTGTAGAAACTGATGGTTACGTAACTTAAATTTTAATAAAAATAAAAGGTTAATGTAATGTTGACGCAGTTCGTATGATACGGACATTTCGGTTATTTTTTATTTTTAAAAATATATGTTGTATTTAAAATAGATCAGATTCTTATTTTATATATATATATATATATATATATATATATATATATATATATATATATATATTCAGTTGTATGCATATTATTTTGTAACGCGCTGTGTTTGACGTTTTGCGATCATCAGATAAACTAAATATCACGCATATAAAAAATACACTAAGAACCGTGTGTGTATGTGTGTGCGTGCGTGCGTGCGTGCGTGCGTGCGTGCGTGCGTGTGAATTTTTACGTATTTATTATGAATGAACATGCCAATCATTCAGAGTGCTCGATTCATAGAATATATATATATATATATATATATATATATATATATATATATATGAAATAAATATATTATTTTATGTTTAAACTAAATTAGGATTTATGTTATTTATTTTTTTTAAATTTATATTAAAATAGACGGATGAATATATGAAAAAGGATATATATATATATATATATATATATACAAGATTCAAC